TTCATACGCACAGATATTTTTAACTAAAGAAGGGGTGAATTATTCACAACTTAAGGTGGTGGAAGATCAGAGAATCCAGGAATGGATTTGACTTTGCCCAGAATGTGGTTCCTGTTTGCCTTTTTCTGCCCTTGTGTGGAAACTTGGGACGTGGAATGACAGATACATGGCTTTAACAGGAAAATCTACAAAGCTAATGATATGGAGATGCCAGTATAGAAGGAAGTTAAGGATCGTTAGTAGCAATCTGAGCTCCCCAATTCAGTCTCGGCTGGTTTTCAGTAGTCGTCTGTTTTTACAGACCTGTCACTTGGTATCCACCTATAATACCAGTCTGTGGTTGTTTCAATAGGAGCCAATATATAGCTCATTACTGTCCCCATATGCCTCCCTAATCTACCTCCCTTCTACTTCTTGTTCGTCTTGCAGAATGTTTCACTGGAGGTTCAAATGTCTAGAAATGCATCATGTCATTTTTCTTTTAAAATATTATTATACACGGCATTAACTACTTTATAATGCTGTCCAATGCCCAGTGGGAATGTAATATAAATCATAAGTCACGTTAAATTTCCAAATGGTGACATCAACAGTGAAAAGAAATGTGAATTCATTTCTAATGTACCTAGTTAAAATGAGATTTCAGAATGCCGTCTATATTAGAGCATCATTAAAGTGAGAGTTTGTGTTTCTTAATGTCTACAGTACACAATCTGGAGCACAGTGTTGTTTTTATAGCACATCATGATTTGGACGCCAGAGTCTCCTCAGCAACAACCTATATGCAGATTTCATATACTTCACAGCTGAGTGTGGTTGCCTGGCCAAGATCTTCCCAACAGGTTTTGCTCAACAACTAACTGACAAACTTTAAACTTTAAACTTAAATTGATTAGAAATCAGTAAAGTGAAAATTTCACTTTACTTTCAGTCACACTAGCCACACTAAGTTGTTGAATAGCTCCATTTATCTGCTGACCCCTCAATGGTAGGAAACAACGTCTGAGAATGGCAATATACTTCTCTAGAAACCCGACTTCATTTCCTGAATTTCAAGTGATTCTTGGTAAATCACCTCTTTTAGACCTATGTGGCTCATCTCTATGATTCTGTTAATGATGTAACTGTTCACTGGGTTTTTAATTATAGTTAAATGAGAAAACAGTAGCATTTAAAAAGCATGATGTGCCATCATCACTGAGATAATAGAGCACACTTGATAAGCTGTAAACCAGTGGTTTTTACATTCTTTCTAGTTTCTACATTTTCTCTTTGGAAAACTGCTAACAGCTACCGTCTAGTCCTACTTAGCGTTTCTGTTGCTGTGATGAACTACCATGACGAAAAGGCAAACTGGGGAGGAAAGGGGGTTATTTGGCTTACACTTCCATATCACAGTTACTAAAGAAAGTCAGGACAGGAGCTCAAACAAGGCTGGAACCTGGAGGCAGGAACTGATGCAGAGGCCATGGAGGGGTGACCTTTACATGGCTTACTCAGTCTGCTCTCTTAAAAAAACCCAGGACCACCAGCTCAGGGGTGTCCATACCCACAAATGACTAGACCCTCCTCCATTAATCACTAATTCAGAAAATGCCCTACAAGCTTGTCTGATTTCATTCCATCCTTAAGGAGGCATTTTCCCAGTTGAGGTTCCCTCCTTTCAGGTAACTATAGCTTGTGTCAAGGTGACGTAAGAGTGGCAAGGACACGCAGTCTGCTTGTGCTGTGTGTATGCTCGGCGGTGCAGTCACCTGTAGTCTACTTTCAGACTTCTTTTTTCCTATTTAAAAAAAAAATCTAATCACATCATTATCTCTCTCCCCCCTCTTAATTGTTCTATCCCTAGCATATTGTTTCTCCCTACCGAGCACATGGTGGTCTCTTCTTTATCCAGTGTTGTTCCGAATACATGTAAATGAATCAGCATACAATTGTAACCTGCTAAGTCTGCTCAGAATTGCTTGCATATAGAAGTTTCTAGGACTGCATTTCTTTAGTGCTTACAATTTGTAGATATTCAGTAAGGGACACCCAGTACTTCGCAGAAGAGTATACCACTGGATTTTTTTTTTTAATAGTTCTGGTAGGCCTGTGTTCTTGCGCATTAAAATCCTTCTGAATCACTTAGTAATGTTTCATGACATTTGCTTTCTTCTGCTTTGAACTGCTATGCCAGGTTTGTGCCGAAAAACAGGAAATGCTTCCTGCTTACCCAACACATTAAAGATCATATAGGACAGAATTAATTTAGCACACGAAATGAGTTTTTCTTAGGTTTCAAAAGTTTTGATTCATTATATTAGAGCAGTTAATGACCAAGGCAAACTTTGATTCTCACGTATAAAATACAAGTAACTTTTTGGTGAAATTATTATTAAACATAACTATGAATTTAAAAAATACCTTAATAATAAATGAATCATTCTGATAAAGGTAACTTGTAAAAGAAAGCAATTAATTTGAGGACAGAAAGTTCGAGAGGATTATATATGTAATTGTAGTAGTGGGAAGCATGGCAATAGACAAAAAAGAATGGAGGTTGAACAGAAGATGAGACTTTACATGTAAAGACAATACCCACTCGGAAGAGAGAGAGAGAGAGAGAGAAAGAGCGAGAGCGAGAGCGAGAGAGAGAGAGAGAGAGAGACAGAGAGAGAGAGAGCAAGGTAACAGGGAATGGCATGAGCTTTTGAAATTTCAAAAAGCCACTCCTAATAACACACCTACTTCAATACCCACGCTTTCTAATCCTTCCCAAACAGTTCTACCACCTAGAGACCAAGGTTTCAAATATCTGAGCACATCGGGACCGTTCTCGTTTACACCACCACATTCAGGAAGAACATTAATTCTCAAAAATGAAATTATCCTTCTTTAAAAATGTTCCTAGATATGTCCATTTGTTCTTCTGAATACAACTAGACCAGACTATTGAATGAGGAATAAAAATGAGACAAATATGGTAGCATTCTTTAATAGGATGTACTAGATGATGAAGTTTCACTTGCTATAGATTGACCAGCTGTTCTTTACAATACTGAAAAATATTAAAATGTATAATAACTAAGAAGTCTCTAGGTCTGTGTGCTTGTTAATGTCTCCCTAAGTTCCTAGAAGGAAGCTATTGTGTCTTCTGCACTGTATAAAAATACTGAGCATGTTTGAGGTGGGAATTTAGCGATGTTACAACAGCCTTATTTGTTAAGAGCACTCTGTGATTCATTTGTGCAATCATGGTAATTATATTTATAGCTACCATGGTGAAAACATTTTAGAGCTACGCTGTCCAGAATAATAATAAGACAAAATTGCATGCCTCCCCAAATATAGCTTTCTACAATGATTGTTATCCATACAGAATTTAAATGTCCTGTTATCAGTTGGGATTACCTTAAATTGAATTGAGTTTTTAATTTATGCATAAAACGTACAAATTATGGATGTTCATCTGCTGTTTAATGCACGTATATGAACTCTTCAAATCAAAGCAAACATACCTAGTTTCTTAAAACTTTTAATATTATATGGCACAGACATTCAAAATTACTTATTCTGGCTTTCAGAAATGTTCAGCATAATGTTCTTGTTGCTGCTGCTGCTGCTGTTGTTGTTGTCTGATATAGTCTCACACTAAAATTTCTCCATGATATCTAACCATAACTTAGTATCTTGGGCTCCACCTCTTGTTATCTCTATTCTTTTCTTTCTCGGCTCCCATGGAATCAACTGTTTCAGATTTCACATCTAAAGAAACTCGTGTGGCATGTTTCTTTCTGTGCTTAGTTTATTTTTAACATATTGGTCTCCGATAACATTGATTGTCACAGAAATTCAGCCTCTTTTTTTGTCAGATTAATGTCCTGTTGCATATAGCTATAAAATTTTCTTTTTCAGCACCTAGAAATTTTTACATATGCTAAGACAGTATCGGGCAATTTTGTGAAATAATATCAAGAACTTCTGTTTTGGCCTTATTACTAACATTTTCCCAGATAGAGCTTTCAAGTGTTCTAATTTTGTTAATATTCCCATTTTACAGTGTTTCCACCTCCTATGGGAAGTGTCTTTAGTTTCTAGGCTTCTTAAAGAAGATTAATAATTCAATACAGCACTGTTTTTTTTCACATTCTTTGATGATAGGTACCTTGATGCTAGGTTCTTTTATGAAGGAGCTAGAAGACATGTCATAATGGTAACATTTGCATTACCATTGCCTCTCCCAAAGTTTATAATAACACATTTTCCTACATTGTTGTTTTAGTCTAGAGAGACACAAATATTTTAAATCTGAGCTAAAAATCTTCTAAATGAAGCCAAACATATAGAGCTTCTGACTGTCTAGACAGCAAACAAGGAGACAGGAAAAAGAGAGATGCCCTCCTTCCAACTCAGACTTCAGTGGGTGATTCAGGAGAGTTTGTTCTTGCCAAGCAGAAATCAGATTCCATCTCTGATCGTCCACTGACTGCCTTTGGTAACACCTGCTCTCTGTTTCTTTTTTACTCTCATCTGAATAAGATTTAAAAAAATAAAATGCATACTGGCTGGATCTGTCTTCTTCTTCTCTTATAATTTCTGCTGGTGGGTACCAGGCAGCTTGTTCAAGATCATCAATGACAGGGCAAGCAGCACTGCACCTCGTAGCTATGGGACTTGGTGTTTTTTTCTTTAAATAAATAAAAGAAAAATTAAAATTCCACCTTTAAGTTGTAATTTCAAACACAAAATAAATAAGTAAAATATAGTTGGTATTTTTTATTATTTAATTGATATATTGTTGAAGATTTATTGTATTTCTACGCAAACTGAAGTACTGGGGTGGATATTTAATGCAGATTAAAACAAAACTCATTACATTGGTGACATGCGGATTACAATTTATGTATATTTTTACAAATGTAGGTTAGCCTTTATTCTGTATGTACATGTTTTTAAAAGTCAATGTATATTTTTTTTCTCCCAGAAATGACTCAATTTCCCCTTCCTTTGTGCTTTAGGAAATAGTCAACTTCAACTGCCGGAAACTGGTGGCTACAATGCCCCTCTTTGCTAATGCGGATCCCAATTTTGTGACGGCCATGCTGAGCAAGCTGAGATTTGAGGTGTTCCAGCCTGGAGACTACATCATTCGAGAAGGAGCGGTGGGGAAGAAAATGTACTTCATTCAGCATGGTGTTGCTGGTGTTATCACCAAGTCCAGTAAAGAAATGAAGTTGACAGATGGCTCTTACTTCGGAGGTCAGTAAACATAGGTGTGAAAGCTAGACCCTACGTCTCTGAAGGGTCTGTCCCGAGGCTTTCAGAGGTGCCACGTGTTTGTTGATTTGGGATTTGAGCTTGTATTTGAATTCTTGCAAAAGCATTTGGAGTGTGTCAATATTTTAGGGTCACAAGTTATACAATTGTATGTATTACCATACATACACTAATGAGAGCAGACCTGTAACTACTTTATCTGGAACCAGATAATATTGGATGAAAGTAACCAGTGTGCATTTTTTTTCCTCACCCAAAAGTCCCCAGAATGTTGGATGAATCTTTCCAAAGTAGTTACAGGGGCCTCCTATATTGCCATAACAAAATTTTGAAGTTTGGGGTTTTGTGTGTGTGTGTGTGTGTTGATTTCTTTATTTTAATTCCCACAGGAACTTTCTTCCTTGACTTTTTCATGTTTTATGGGTGTAGCGAGTAAAGAAGGAAAGCTGGAAGTTTGTCTTTAGATTTAGTGCGCAATGTTGCCTCTAACTCACAGAGGTCCACCTGTGTTTCCTCTGGAGTGCTGGGATAAAGTCATATGCTGCTATGCCTGGCTTCCAATCACTATTCTTATTTGTAACTCCTCATTCTCTACCCAAGTTAGCATATCCCTTGTAAATGTGTGTTCAGTTTAAGTGTACATGCATAATTACTCCCAAATAGACAACTTGCAGGTCTAAGGGAAATGACTCTTACCAGCTAGAGCACGCTGTACATACATTATTTTCCTTGATTCTTATAGACTCCATGAACGTGCAAAGGCACAGAGGTCAGTATCTGACTTCTTCATTGTTCTCAGTGACACAATTCATACAGTAATAGTGTACTTAGAGCTGTTTGTCACAATCTCCATATCACTCAGTGTTATAGGGTTACTGTTGTTGTAATGAAACACCATGATCAAAAGGCAAGTTGGGGAGGAGAAGGTTTATTTGGATTGCACTTCAACATCAGAGTTCAACACTAAAAGGAGCCAGGACAGGAACTCAAACAGGACAGGAACCTGGAGGCAGGAGCTGAAACAGAAGCCATGGAGAGGTATTGCTTACTGGCTTGCCCCCCATGGCTTGCTCAGTTTGTTTTCTTATAGAACCCAGGACCACCAGCCCAGAGATGGCACCACTGACAATGGGATAGGCCATTCCCACTGATCACTAATAAAAAATTCTCTACTGACTGGCCCACTGTCCGGTCTCATGGGGACATTATCTCAGTTGGAATTTTCTCCTATGGGAGGAATTTAAGTTGACATAATCAAGCCAGCATACCCAGATTTGTTCTGACCTCATAAATTGAATGTAATAAAGTTTACTCTGTTTTAAAGAATGCCATAGATATTTTTTAAAGATGCTCATTGTTCTGTATACACTATTATTCAATATCAAATATTAACACTCTTTAAAAGAAAGAAGAAAGAAATCCCCTGTTTATCTCTTACTGGGTCTGTTCATTTCCAGAACTTATATTTAATTTAAATATAAGTCATATATTTAAATTAAAATATATATTTATTTTATATTTATATTTAACATTCCTATATTTAAATGAAAGCTCTAATTTCCATTTTTAATTGAAATTATGATAGAAATTGAGGTGTTTTGGTATACAACTTTCATAAAATGACTTGCATATAATTTCATATTATGGGAAATCTTGTTTTCTTTATGAAGAGAAAATTTGTTCTGCACTTCCAATTGATATACATGCAAATTCCTTTTTACTATCTTGTTTAACTGGGTGGCATTACCAATACTATGTTGAATTAAAGCAGTATGAGTAACAATCTTATCACGATACTCATTTGGGAAGAAACAATCTACATGTTTATCATTAAACATAATACTAGGTGAAAAGTGTTTTGGATTTATTTTCATGTTTCTTGCTTATATTGGGGGTAGTCTTTATAATTATTTCAAGTAGTAAGTGAAATCTTGTCCATTTTGTCTGTGTGATTTAGAGAGATATTTTCATTTATTTTACTATTATTTTATTTACTTGAAATAAGAAGAACACAGTTTCTTTTCATTCCTGTACTTGTTTTTGTAGTTGATTACATTTAGATGTTGGATTTTGATCTGTTTTCACAAAGTAAGTTTTAAATTATTAAATTTGTAAGGAGCTGGATAGTATTTGCTTAAATTTTTGTGATTAATTCCACGAGAAATATTGCTCTTTTCTTTTTCTTTCCCTTAATGCATTTTCTGAGCTTTGGATTAGCTTAATTCACACTTCAAAAACGAATTTATAAGTTTTTCTCTCTGCCCTGTTTTCCCGAAGAGTTATTATCATTGCTTCCTTAAATATATTGTAGAGTTCCCTAATGAAAACACTGGAAGCTAGGATTCATTTTTGCAAGGTTATTACATATCTTTTCAGTTTCTTTACAGCAAAGATGCAATTTTGATTCAGCTTACTTATTTCTCGCTGTGTAAATTTGGTTAGTCTGACTCATCTACACCAGTGCTGGGTGTTCTCATCAGTACAGTGCTCAAATAGATGAGCATGGGACAGATGCTCGATGTGTGCTGCTGGACAAGTTTATAGGCACCAGGGACACCGAAATAAGAAAAAGGGATCAAGTATCCTATAATTCTCTCACTTTTAACTTATGATTGTTCAAATAAACTTCGAAATTACTAAAATTGCAAAACTGTTTTATTGGATGATGAAGGGAAATACTTTGGGAAAATTAAAGCAGGGACTATAAGAAATGTCCCCGACCTCCTACAGCCATGTAAGGCACAGAATTTGGATGTGTGGAGTGAATGGAATTCTGGACTTCTTAGTGAGTAAAGATGGTAAACATAGGAACAGGTCTAGTGTTAGCTGCTCTCAGTACTCAGAGTGGATGGAAGGCGAGGTGGTGAACGCTTGTGTGCAGGAAATAAGGTGCTATGGGAGTAACCATCTGGCTGATAGAGAAAAAGAGTAGTTCTAAGACCCCTTGGTTCCTCTTTGGAGATAAATGATGGAATCTTAATTCTTTTTACAAGTGAGGAAATTGAAAACCTTCCAGGAAAACATCCCAGTTTCTGCTTGTTACAGACTTTCTTTCCATCTCTCAAGAATTTTCTTGAGTCTTAGTTGAACGGTTGTGTTGTTGATGTATTTAGGGATGGGAAACACATGGTCAGTTGTTCTTTGTGTTTTAACTGGTTGTGGATTGCTGTAATAATCTCCATCTGTTGCGAAAAAGGACCTTCTTTAATGAGGATTGATTGATCTACTTACCTGTGGGCATGAGAAGCATTAAGAATGGTTTATGAACGTAGGTACTCCTCTAGATTCTATGGCCTCGTGAATCATGGGTAGTTAGTAAGTACTGTACTTCATTTACAGTACTTACTAGGCATAATTCTTTATGAATGAATAGCCCGTAAATCGAATTCAACAGCTATTGGTTCCTGCCAAGATATAAATGCTACCTCTGGGAATATCTCACCATGCTGGTTATTGTGTTTCATATAGGACAGGCAAACTACACTTGTGAAATATTAACAATGTAGTAGACTAAACGACCTAAACATTGATAATTAACAAACAAATGTGGATGGAAGAAATCACATGAGGACCCATCCTTGGATAAAGAGCTAAAAAAAAAATGGTTACAGAGGGAAAGAGAATTAGTCTTCCTTTGGTTTAAGCTCTCTAATATGTTATCCAATACAAAGTAGTCAATCCTAAAAGCATATACATACATACATATGTGCATACATGCATACAAGCAATAATAAATAAATTCAAAAGGTTGCATATGTGTATATACATATATGTATGTACATATATGCATATGGCAATAATAATAAAAGAGAAAAATAATAACGCAATAGAGATAGTACATGAAGGTGTAAGGATGGTTTGGAGGCAGAAGGGGAACAGTGTAGTGTGTTGGATGAGCAGGATATGGCAATAGGAGATTGACGACAATCATAGTATATTATAAATATTTATGGAATTTCATAAAGAAACGTATTGTACAATAAACAAAGGCTAAATTAATAACACACAATGGAATTGAGGCTCATGTCAGTAAAACTGGCGGTGTACCTGGAACAAGGCAAATTTCGGCTAAGCATTCGAAATTCAGATTTCTGTGTGTTCTTCCCATAGTTCCTCTCCTCCAGAGGGGCATTACTGTCCCCTAGGTCTAGGATATTAATACAGAACATTTTCACAGGTTTCACTTTCTCTTCAAAGCTGTCCATTATCCTTTATGTCTGCATTTGCAAAGGTCTTTTGAAATCTCTTCTTATGTGCTATTCAGTCTCCATTAAAGTAATCATAGTGTTAAAATACTGGCCCCAGAAGAAATAAAACTATTATGTACCTCATTAAAATTTTAAATTATATATCTCTGCACCAGAAATTTTCATGATTTTAAAGAAAAGTTGCTGTGTTCCTAGAATAATCAAACTCCAGACCAGAGGACATCTAAAGTTCCACTGCCAGCCTGTGATTCATCCGATCTTATGTCATGGGGAAAAAAAAAGCAATGCACTCATGAAGAAAATATTTCCCTTAAAGATTCCTCAACTCTGCTATATAGTGTCCAAATCTATGCTAGAATTAGAGGATACAATATGACTTGGACATACGTCTTTAGAAATTTTATGTCCAGATGCGTTCAGTTCACCTGATGTTTTAAAACGTAGAGAAATAGGATGGAAAAAAACAGAACATTAGTACCCCTGCCCTGAAGCCATGTCCTAGGTTATCAGAGGACTGAAATCTCTGTACTTCTATCTTTACACCATTGCATTTATTTAAAAGTAGGTACTGGTTTTGGAGGAGTGAAAACCTGTTGATGTGAATTCACAATTTTATTTCTTCAAATTTCTCCTCATGTATACCAAGTAGGAAAAACCTCCCCTCCCCCCTTTTTAAGTGTTACCTCCAAGCTAGGTGGTGTCATTGTCTCAAGGATGGTAAGACAACTCTGAAACCTTTTTTTGAAGGCCCTGACCTACTTGGAAATAATAAAT